AACAACAACAAAACAAACTAGATGTGGCTCACACGCTGTAGCAGCCTGTGCGGAAGCCAGATAGGATATAGAAGTAAACAGGGTTAAACAATGGCCACACAATGTGGGAACAATTTGATTGATTTGTTTGCTGCCGTTTGGCTACGACGGAAATAACTCTTAAGACTTATTGTTATCTTGGCCAGTTACCAAGCTTATCATGCACTGTGTTTAAGTGCCTTTAAATGCCTAAAATGTACATTATGCCTTTTATTGCTATCGACTTGCAGCGGGAAACGCATAAAATTCTTTAAAAACTGATGATTTTATTCTCAAGTACGTAAGTATCTGCCAAAGAAGCTATTAACTTGACTTCAAATGTCAATAACAAAGAGTATGTGTTAGTTTTTATATTAAAAGACCAGAAAATTGCAGCACTGAGCACATTATTCACATTATTACACTACTTTCCAGTTAATGATAGAATATATTTTAAAGCATAAGGCTGGTAATATTTTCTACTTTTCTTATTTTCAACAAATTACATAAAAAGACTGTCTCTTAATACTTCCCTACCCTGTCTGAAGCACTCATCCTCAAGCCCAATGGTTTCTATTGAAGCTGTAAATCTTATTAAAAATGTCTCACAAACATATAGTTTCATTTAAAAAAGGTGCGGTACTCGAATAAAACATCTGGACACTGTATTTCTCAGCAAACATAACTCAAACAGGAATAAACACTGCATTTGTTAGGAACTATTTTCAGAGGCGGATAAATACCCATTTGTGCTGGTGGGTATTTGTAGTAGAAGGACGGTGTATGTGGGATTGGATTTCTGACTCATTGGTGTGTTTTTAATAGTTGTTTTTTACCTCTATGGCACAGAAGAATATACTATATCAGGCTTTGATACACACAATGCTGTAAGAAGAACATATTAATTATTGGTTTTGGTCTTTTCATGGAATTTGCAAACAATAACAACGTCCTTTGAGGCAAAGTACATTTCTGATAAAGCTTTAAGTACGCTGTATAAACCTAGGCACGATGAAGATGTGTTTAGCTATATAATCCTGCACATAGATATGGAACCAACTTCATGATTGTCTTAAATTTAAACCAACTATGGCTTCTTTTAAAGTTTAATTCAGGTAAGTTTAAAGTTAGATCAGAGAGGCATTAAGGGTTATTTTGACCAAACCGGAGTTGCTGGTTATTTCAAAGGAAAAAGACAAACTAAGACGGGTTTGGTGAGATTTATTTTGTTTTTGTTGAGATTATCTGCAAACTAAAATTACTGTTTTTGTCAATGGACGATATAACTGTATAACTGCTGCTGTTTCTGGTTAAACAAAAGGTTTACCATAATGTTCACACTGTCAGTTGCAGAAGCACTCTTAGTGGACGTACACAACGATTATGTAGCAGCGCTCAATACTGGATTTCAATTTCAAAAACTGTTATCCCCATTAGTCACTAAAACTATCCAGGGGAAAATATCCAGGTAAAAATAGAGAAGTTACCCTTTAAATCTAAACAAATATAAACTGAAACCTGTATCGTTTCCCTTTGTCTTTGAATGTTTACTTTTCTCTACTTGAATTTCCTTTATTAATGTGAGGTGCTTTATTACTGCACTGAAGCTGTCTATTATTTTTAATTTGATCTCTTTTTATAGTTATAATTTTGGCTCTTATATATTGCACTGCTCTCTACAAATGAACTTGTCTTGACTCCTATATTTTCATGCCAGAAATCTTTCTCCGATATCAGCTGCTGCCCTTTTTCAAGTGACGGTACTCTAAATGAAACTCTTCAAATATATAAGTGAATGTATTTCATATTCATTACCAATACTTTCTTTGTTGCCACCAAACAGGTTTTGCATTAAGAGCAATATAGGCACCCTGAAGCAGCGGAGCCGCATGTCATATTGGCCCCCATGCAATTTATCTATTGTGATTTGGCAGCCATTCATCTTTTAAATGCTCTCTCATGATTTCCTTTGTGCACGCAGAGCCGGAGGTGACCTTGAAAATGGACCATGTGGTGTATTCTGATGATAATTTATTCTCACATACAAGAAAACTGTCTCACTAACATGATTTTCATCATGCTTTGTGCCATCTACACCCACTGGAAACTTTTAGAGCATCTACTTATGGCCTGATTTACCAACACATTCAATCCTTTTGTAAGACCAAATACAGGTCTCTTATTCCAGCAGTTATATTGATTGCCAATGTACACAAAACTAAAAAGTTGTAAAACTGGTGTAAAAATCAACACTGAATCCAGAAGTAGAAAGATAAAACTATGGATTTAAGTTTTTATATAAATTTCCCTATAAAACTGAATCACAGGATCATTTTCAGACTCACTTTCAGTCTGTGAAAGACTGTTATTGATTTATTTAATCAATGAAAACCCCCACAATGGTGGCAAACTGGCTCTTAGCTCCAATTTTAAAATATAAGATGTGCAAATGACTTCTGTCTCAACTTTGACTGTCCCTAATATTTCACTTGACTGTCTGACAAAAATAGTAACATAGTCATTGTCTCTTTTTTGTGAGTCTGTGAGCTTTGACTGACACACACACACACACACACACACACACACACACACACACACTAGCGGCACACTCCGTTTTAATGCATATTAATGAAGTTAAACGGGCCGCTGTAGAGAGGAGACAATGGAGCAGAGGAGGGTTGGTTGTGAGCACAAAGCCGTGGACTCAGGGGAAGCAGAACAGGTGCAGGGAGGACACTGCAGCTTCACGTGGAAACGACTCACTATAGGTTCATCAGTGCAGGAAGGGATGTGTTAATGTGGCACCATCCTTGGCTTTTTTTTTGTCTTTATTTTTTCTATCAAAGTGTCATTGTTGTGAGGTTGCTGCACTTTGTGTCCTAGAAAAATCTCTTTTTAACCAAACACAGAGACCTGTACAAGCCTGATTTCTTACATTTGTTGTTAATGATTCATTCTAACTCCACGATTCTTTTATTTAAAGTACGTGATGACTGTTTAATCATAACTTTTAGGACATTTAGGATGTTAAGAAACATACTATTCGTAGGTATGTTTTTGTTGTTGTATAATCACCTGAGTCTAGGAATCTTTGTGTTACTGTTACCTAAGAATGAGCTGGTTAATCTCTGCATGTTGAACCACCACGTTTCTACAGAATGGACAAAGCAGACACTGGATCTGGATAGGAAAAGACTCTTTAAAGACTCTTTAAAGACTCTTTCCTAACCCCGATCTCAAACTCTAGCTGTGAAGCTGTGAAGTTGTGATATGTGACTTCATTCTCAGATTGTTTTTTAAAAAAATAATGAGAAGGAATAATAAAAACCAGTCAGCACTTTCTTGTTTGTTGTCCACACCGTCATCAAAAATAACAATTCTGGTTTTTTATCTGTACTGTAACACGGCTCTGAAGAAGCTTTGTCAACTCTGAGAAAATATCCTTGATGATGTAATCAAGGCTATCTGAGCTTAGTTTAGACTCATATCTGGAATTAAACCAGACATTCTGGGTGAGATGCTACAGCTAGGTATGTAGGATTCAGGGTTTTTTGTTTGGAGCTTGAACCACACTGGGGACAAGAAAGGCAAAGTATCTTGTTCTGTGCTGCATCGATTTTTTGACTATTCCTTTCCAAATCTGTCTCTTCAAGTGCCCCAACTTCAGGGAAGTGTAATACGAAACCAGTGGAGTGTCCCTTTAAATAAACTGTTGTTGCTGCTGCTGGGAGCAAACAAAGCAATCACTTCTCTGTAAAATTAAAAACCTTAGAAATGGACCCAGTTTGTGTCAATATGCACCAACAAGGGTTAACTTTAGAGGAGAAAAACCACCTATACAGACATTTTGGCCTATTTCTCTCCAAGCTTTCTCCTTAAATTAAAAATGACAAAGACAAAATAACCTCATAAATAATTATGAGAAGAAACAAATATCAGTCTCTCTCCACCAGCAGGATAAATAATTCTCTTCCAACACAAAGAAACACTCTTTCCGTGATAATAGTCATATTGTGGGAGGGAAACTGATTTTCCCAGCTCAGTAACTCCCTGCTCTGCTCTGTAGACCCTCCTATGGGGCCAGAGAGATAATCAACTTGAACCAAACCACGCCCCCCTGTTTTATTCTGGGGAATTTATCAGCGCCTACATGTTGAGTGCACTGCACACTAGACCCAGCAAGAGAAGAGAGTAGATCACCTCCACAGACTACCCATGCTGACAGACACACTATCCGAAACGCCTATTCACTCCTGTGGACATTAAACTCTGCAGCTCCGGACAGGATGGATTTTTTAGACCGCGGTTACCTGGAAGCGCGGTCCCCGTATGATTACACCTTTAATTTCTGGAACGACTACCTCGGCCTGTCGACACTTGTCGCCAACAATAAGATCAACAGCCCGTCCTGCAGCCCCAACTCTATAACCGAGTCTCTTAAAGCGACCCTGGGCTTGGAGGACGATTCCCCGGTTTGCTCCTGCGTAATTGGGCACGGCAGGGACAGCGACGGACACTTGGACTGCTGCTGCGCGGCCCCGGGCTCCCCGCCGATCTCCATCTATGATCTCAAGGAGCGCATCTCGCTTCTCAGGCCGTACGAACAGCTTGCTGGGGATTCGCCTCTGGGAGACAGAGATTCACCCTCCTATAGGGGAAGCTTCGCCGGCCTCGACCTGCTCTCCATGGACAGAAGGCGCAAACAGACTCAGAGGGGCAAACCGGAGCCGAAGGTGTGCGTCTTCTGTCGGAATAACGGCGCGCCGGAGGAAGTTTATGGCACCCATATCCTGAAGACAGCGGACGGCAGAGTCCTGTGCCCCATCCTGCGGGCATACACCTGCCCCCTCTGCAGTGCCAACGGCGACAATGCGCACACCATCAAGTACTGCCCGCTTTCTAAAGACCAGGCGAGCCAGAGAGTGGCAAAGGGAAGCAGAGTGGTTGGCAAGAGGCTGAAAATCTTCTGAGCCAGGAGATAAATGAAGTTTGAGTTGCACTGTAAATTACTAGTGTGTATGGCAGTTGACCCATTTCATGCACAAGACAAGTCTGGAGAGAGAAAGATTTTACGAAAATTATTTTTTTTTTTTGTATGTGTCACTGCTTCATTTGTAATGTTTTCGTCTCTCTTGTAACTCTATGGGCACATAGTTTACACTTGGACGCATTGCGCGCAATATTCCCCCCGCAGCAGCACTCTTAAGGACTTTGTGATCAAAATGAACCAAAGTACTGTACAGATCGACCTGTGAATGACCACCTTCATGCTGTAATCAGAAGTTGCTGTGTTTTTTAAGAAGCACAGTGCCAGTGCAAACAGCCCCTGAGCATGTCAGCGGGCCTGCTCTGGCTTCATGAGAATGCCAACATAAATGAATATGCAGCACTCCTGATATGAGATGAATGTTTAGTCACATAGTTCACTGGCTCATGGATGTAAGAAAAGTCTGACAGGCCATGCAAGATGCAAGATATACTACTTTATATCAAGCACATTTGTTTTGTTTTTTCCTGAGATAAATGTTTTCTACCAAAGGAATACAACTTTTGTATTGAAACTTAGCCTAAAGGTCATTTCTGTATTGTTTATATGTTGGATGTCTTATATTCTTTCATGTGATTTTTATGTGGATAGTATTTTACAGATTTGAATGTAACGAACGTAGATATGACATGCAGTTCACCTACATGTACCTTCAAAGTAGCTCCAAGCTCTATTATTTTGAGTTTACTCTCATTAGTTTAAAAAAAACCACACAGATGCTGAATTGACTTTTTTCAAGCGGAGATGTATTCCTGCAATTCTTGTAAATGTATTAAAGGGGGTTGAACAATTTTAGCAATGAAAAAGCCTGACATTCCAAAGTCTTTATCTGTCAATAGAAATGTTTTATGTACTTATTTTTACCTTATGTATCACTGGGAAATATATTCGCTGTAAATGACCTCTGAATAAACATGTAATTTGCATTTCTCTTTGACTACGTGGGACTACAACTGATTTTAACATCAATCACTCACTTCATGATGCTTGATAACATGACTGAGTGTGTTATTGTGAGCTAAGATTATGGTGTCACACATAATAACTTAATAAGCATTGCTCACAACATCCGAAAACATCTGCGATAGTCGTGCAATGCAAAAGCGCCACCTAGTGTTCAAAACCTTGAAAGACAACAACCCCTGCAGTAAAGACCTCCACTGTACATAATGGATCCAAGACTTTTTATGATTTATGATGGACTGGTCTTTGCCATGAGATAAGATTAGGACGGTGTTTTAAAGTCAGCTCTGATTGGAAATGTACTTGAAACAGTTTGTCCTGATGTACATAACCTCGACTATCTGGGACAACTTGTGAAAAACCTTGCCACTCAATGCCAGAATATAAAAACAGCTCAGTCGCCTTGTAGCCAAACGTCTCTGCATGTCGGCGTGTAGATAAAGCTGTAAATGAGTTGCAAGTTTTCTTTTTACACCGTGTTTACATGTAACACTTATCATCAGATGTTTAGTACCAAGAAAGACTGATATTTTAAATGTTATCTGTATTTTATATCACCAGTCAGAGACCTGATTGGATTGTCTATCTGGTCCCACTAGACTACTACAAACCTGATTCACTCATTTGTTGACCTGTCTTATACAATAAAGGAACATGGTGTTGTTATGAATAATATTATTGTTTTAATCAAGTGTCTCAGTAAGCAGTGGTGGAAGAAGTATTATTAAAATTCCTGCATTCAAACGTAATAAAGGAAAAGTAAAGGTAAAAGTATAAGCATAAATATATACTAATATACTTAATGATGCATTAATATACTTCTGGGTAGCCTAACCTATGATAATATATCATCATTTATGTAGTTGGTTTACATTTTGTATTAACAGTCTTTTTCATACAGTAACCAAAGCTGTCAAATGAACATAGCGGAGTAAAGAAGCAAAATTTTTGCCTTCAAAAAGTAGAATAGTTGAAGTGTTAAGTAATTTAAAATGGAAATACTCAAGTAAATAATTGTAATTAAGTAGAGTACTTGAGTAAATGTACTTTACATTCCAGCACTGGCAGTAAGCCAGGACAGTGTGACAGTGAGTCAGCATGCACAACACTAGGACCCTGAAACATAATTTATTTTACTGTTTACATCTGTGATTTTACTATTATTAAAAAGGCATTTTAGTATCTACCAAAAACACCATAAAACATTCACACATGTTATTATGGAGCGATTCTTCATTATGTGTAAATAAAGACTGCTGGTGGGTGTATTTTGGAAGAAAGCCCTTCTAAATATAACGTTTTCTAATTACATCTGTGGATTCCTTTGAGAAAACAAACCATATTTGTCCAGAAATCAACTGTAAACTGAACTTATATCTTGATTACATCTATATAGCTTGAATAATAAAGAAGCAAACACTGATGGAGGGACGGGATCTGTGAATCAGCTTCAGCTGGACGTCCTGTATACATTACATCAGTTGCATTGCTTCTCCCTATGTAACAACATTTTTTATTGTTTCTTTGGGTGAGCTGTCCCTTTAAATGCTAAGTAATCAATGAGTGTCATTGACCTATTTTGGTCATAAATAGACCTTCTCCCTGTCCAAAAGCCTTTGGGTGCAACTTACACAACAATGTCAACAATCTAAAGGAGCAATTGGATCCGATACTTCTCATTTTCTAGTTTATCAGGTATTAAGATTTCAGGGTTGGGAACAATAACTGATGGAGGACTCCCTATTGTCCGGCTGAACAGTGCCACCTACTGGAATTATAATACTGCTTTATCATTTGCTTTATGGCCTTGAAAACAACACTTTGTTGCTAAAAGGGTGATGGTGAAAACATTGGCAGCTGTGACAGTACTACAGGGGATGCCAAGATTTTCTTCTAAAGACTTTTCTCCAACACGCCATGCTTCACTCCCCGAAAACAAATAAAGCATGGCTTTCTTCCACTAATGCTTTAGGGCCGTCTTGCTTTTATCAGTGTGCTAATTTTGATGTATTTGCTTTGTGTTTAAGTTTGAGTTTTGTTTCCAAACTGAAATTTCAGCAGCTGGTCGAACTGATTGAATCATCAAGAACTAAATCAACACTCTGCTAATACATTATGGTCATTTTGTGCTAGAAATCTTAATTATTTTCACTTTAAGTTGTTTCAGTGTATTCCACTTGACTAGGCTGACTTCTGCAGTGACAAATGTGTGCCGGTGGATCAAATAGTGATCTGAGTTAGGTGGATTTGCTCGTTTCAGTTTAGGTTTAATAGTTTAAAAATGTGTATTATTAGTTAAGTTTTTATTCGTTTCAGTATTAGTTTTATTTATTTTATTATTACTATAATATGGGGGGTATATTTCAGGGGCAAGAAGCTAAGAATAAGCAGTATAATAATGCCTCTTTATGCTTGTTGTGTTGACAAATTTGACCACACTGAGAAAGACTAAAACTTAAAGACATTTCCTGTATATCTTTACTTTATTTTAAATATATTGTTTTAGTTCAGTCGTTTTCTAAAGTCTCCGTTCTTCTTTCAGTCATCTAAAATGTTTTGTTCTCACCTAGTATAAGTGTAGTTTAGTTTTAGTCACCTATAATGATCTTGACTCCCTCTTGGAGTATAATGTTGGCCTTTAAGAGACAATTGTCCTACAACTGACACCAGTCCGAAAGCGTCTGTCACTAAAACCGTGTCCTTGAGCAGAAATCTGAATCACTTCCTGCATAAGAACGCCTGCTTCATGCCTCTTTTTTAACAAACACTAAGGATGATTTACAGGTACCCTCTGACTCATCTCTGGATGTTAAACAGCCAGAGTGTTTTCTCTCTGTCAGCAGATACAGATAGCACTTTCTTCTTCAGTGGTGTCTCCCACACACACTGTCAGCTCAAGAACATCAGTGACTCATCAATTTGCAATTTAAATAGATCAAATAGATGCGTCTAAAGATACTGTGGGAACAGAAGCAGTATACAGGGAAATGCAAAGGGGTGTCGAGCAACTAAAGGACACTTATAGCAAAACAGACAACAATGAGGAGAGGATCAAAAAAGAAAATGTTACTTTTTAAAATACATCTCTGTAAAGTAAAAAGTAATAAAATAAAGCACCAGCCATCTGTGTACTGTTCAATTAGCAGGAAAGGGTTCAATATCTGTGTATGTGGGCTAATGTGAGATTATTCAGACATATTATTCATAGATAGCAGTGGGCAGGTATCAACCACATCAATCTATTTAAGTACCAAACAATCTGTATGCCATTTAATTTATTGTCTTCTATGGCATTAAAACCTTTAAGTGCCTGGCTTTTAAAGTATACGTCCCCCTCACTCTGTCTTTATGCACTTTGTATTGATTCTCTCTAACTAGGATGTGGAAAAGACTTAGTTTCAAGTCATTTTCACAAGGTTTGCCCCAGGTTTTTTTCCACTTTATTGATGTGGATGTGTTCATTGCTTGACAAATGCATCTGAGCCTGCATTGAGGGCAGAAAGTAGGGTAAAATATGCCACCAGAAATGCGTAGAGTAATAAGAGTAATTGAGTGCAATGCCATTTTTAGGGCAGATTAAAAGAAACCCTGCTCTACCACATCAAGTCTGCCTGCCCTGGCTGAGAGTGAGTCTGAAAACCAACCTCCTCTCTCCTCACTGCAGCAGTCTGCTATTGGTCTGGTGGATGCTGACAGCACTGGTGTTTCTCTGTGGTGGAGGGGGGGGAGGGCAGCCTCACTCTATAAAAGCCAGGGATCTGCAGCATCACTGAGCTGGTGCAGTGCAAAAACGCTCGCTCATCCTCACCGATGGTGTGCAGAACAAGGGGGACATAAAAAAAAACCTTTTGAAACTAAAAACATCCATATCCTTTTCTTAAACAAACAAAAAAACCCACAACAAAAAATTCATCATGAGCTACGATTCCTACCTCTCCTATCGCCGCCCTTGGGACAGCTACAGAGGCTCCCAATCCACCACCAAATCCTCTATGTCTTCCTCCCTCTTCTCTTCTCCTCGAGCTCCTCCGTCTGGGAAGAGGATCCTGAGGCTGGCCCCCTCTTCGATGCCAGACGGGTCTGAGCGGATGGACCTGGCTCAGGCCAGCTCCCTCAACACAGAGCTGCTGGGCCTGCGCTCCCAGGAGAGGGAGCAGCTGGTGGACCTGAACGACCGCTTCGCCACCTACATCGAGAAGGTGAGGCACCTGGAGCTGCAGAACCGAGCCCTGCTGGCCGAGCTGGAGGCGCTGAGGAGGCGGCAGAACGACCCCTCCCGTCTGCAAACGCTTTATGAGGGCCAGGCGCGGAGTTTGAGGGCCATGATAGACTCGGAGAATGGGGAGAAGATGCGGATGGAGGCGGAGAGAGACTACCTGCGTGACGTGTATGAGCAGATGAAGGAGCGCTACGAGGAGGAGTCGAGGCGGCGTATGGATGCTGAGGAGGCCCTGCAGAGGGCCAGGGAGGAGGCCGGCAGGGCCGTGCTCTCCAACTGTGATGCCGAGGCCACGGTGGTCTCTCTGTGTGACGAGATGGTGTTCCTGAAGAAAGTCTTTGCAGAGGAGCAAGCAGAGCTGCAGGCTCAGCTGCAGGTGGCTAACATCAGCGTGGATGTGGAGGTGTCCCGGCCCGACCTCTCCACCGCCCTGCGGGACATCCGGGCACAGTATGAGCGGCTGGCAAACAAGAACATGCAGGCCGCTGAGGACTGGTACAAGAACAAGTTTGCGAGTGTGGCAGAGATGGCCAGCAAAAACAACGAGGCTGTGCACGCCATCCGGGAGGAGACCATGGAGTACCGGAGGCTGCTTCAGTCCCGCTCCTCGGAGATTGAAGCTCTCCGGAACGTCATCGACTCTCTAAATAAGCAACTGGAGGATCTTGAGGAGACGCAGGCCAAAGATGTGGCAAAGTACCAGGTGAATGAGGGATATTTGGATCCTGATCTGCATGAACATGCACCCAGTATCTGGGTAGCTGTGATAAAACTTATATACGCTGCCTCGTCTGGTTATCTGCCCATTTGGGCTCCAATATGAGTATTCTGCTCTCAGATCAGAAGTAATCTTGTTCTTATGATTTTTTTAGCGTGCAGAGGGAAAAAGGGGGCAGGAAAGATGAAAAGATGGTGTGACCTCACACTTGAACACAGAGATAAGATGGAATAATCCTTATAGATTCTTTTTAGACTAAAAGGGAAAAACTACATGCAGAAAGTAGGAAACAGCATAAGGGAGCCCTGCTTCTTTCTTTTTGATAGAAAATGTAAATATATTCTCTGCTGCAGCTACACCCTCCCCATACTGTAGTGCTCAGCAGGAAATAATGGCTGGCTCAAAGCAGAGGTGAAAATCTGCAAGGTTACTGTCTGAATAAACGGAGAGCACACACACAAAATGATCAGGGATTTCCAAAACTGTATGTTAATTTATCACTTTTCCAACCATTTACACAAATCTCTTCAAGCTGAAAATGACCTTAAAATCAAATATCTATCATAAAGTTGTGTCCTACATGTCTCTGGTTTTATGTTCTTGTGTTGAGCATCACTAACTGTGATGTTTGATAATGAATGGTTGTGGGTTTTTCTTCATAGATGAGGATAAGTGAGCTGGAGCGGGATATCACTGACGCCAAACAGGAGATGGCGCGCTATCTGAGAGAGTACCAAGACCTTCTCAATGTGAAGATGGCCCTTGACATTGAAATCGCTGCGTACAGGTGAGATCTAGTTTTGTCTGCTGATTGCCACCAATGTTGGAAATTTAGTTAATCTTGAAGAAATATTCATGATTTTATGACTTTTTCTGGGGCAATATGTTTTAAAGGTTGTTTATTTTATATTAAATCTCACAACAGAAATTATGTTTTTCACACTTTTACTGTGTAAATAGCTCGAAGATAATCTGTCTCCTTTTTCTTTTCAGAAAACTTCTGGAAGGGGAAGAGATTCGACTGGCTTACCCTTCCCTTCCCGCCCTAAACTAAAACCTATATGCCACCAGCCTGGCATAAACCTGAATTCTTCATACCCCTTCTTTCCTTTCCTGCCCTGAATATCACCCCTCTCCCTCCCTCATTTCTTTTACATTCTCCCCTCCGTCATCTCTTCCCTTCCCCCCCCCGGCCCCCAAAATATACTCCCTATACTTCCTTTACTCCTCCCAAAACCAAACCAAAGCTCATTGTTCTCAAGACAGATGCGCCCTTGTGCTAAACAAGAGGTCCACCAGAAGTCCCCCTTCTTCTACACACGTTCTGACACCACACATCACGAAGATGGCAAACTGTAAAATGCAGAGTGGCTGCACTGCATTAGTTACATAGCTAAGTCGGACAGCAATATTGGTTTGGCTGAGTTCCTCTCTGTCGCACATGTTAAGGTCCAAGCTGCAGAGTTACTATTTGACTCTTGTGAACCCTCACTGTGCAAACATTTGACCAATTGTTTGTGAAGGAGGACAAAAATTCCCCTTATCTCTCGGTACTTGGGCTTTATCTGTGTTTAAACTGATGCAGGAGACCTGCAGCGTTATTGACCGGGAACTCTACCAATCGATTATGCATTGTCCTGCACCCCTGGTTCTTAGTAGTAGTAGTAGTCAGTGAACCAGTAACCTTAAACATTTCTTTTCACTATATTAAAGACCCATTTTTGTCTTTTTTTAGTTATTCTTCCTCTGCATTTACATCTACACCAATGCTACAAGTTTTGGTTGGTTTAAAAACCAGAATGAGTTCGGGTCTTCCTATTTGGCCGGTTGTTTAAATTTCTAATTTCTTTTCTTGCAAAACCTTCTGGACGTGTAAATGCTGTGGAAGACTAATTGTTACTGGTTTCTCCTAATATTCATGCAGTGTGTCTCGCAGCCTATCTGCATTAGATTTTTTTTTTAATGTTCTGTGAGTTCATTCAAAGCTAAACAATGAAACTGAAAGATAACTGCAGGAGCTCCTTGTTGTTTGTCTGCTGCTGTTAGATCTAAATGGTGCTTTACATCTGTGAAACTAATACAAAGTCTGCACCATTACGCTCAGTGTACCTGTAACAGCCGGCAACAAGCTAAATAAACATATAACTGACCTGCAAATCAGTTCACATCTCCTGTTTTCATTTGACCTCATTTCAACGTTGTGGCTCCACTCTCATGTACAACCCAATTAATTGCCTACGTGTTAATAAAATTTTGAATCAAGGTGTAAACAGGTGGAAAGATAAAGAATATGCAGAGATGACCATGTGCACAACATGATCACACAATTTGTTTTTTAAGACAACAAATCAACAGCAGCCTCATTTTTACCTGCACGTCTATTAACTGTGCGTCATCAACATCAAAAATAAATTTTAAAGAGGCCATTCAGGCAGACTATTTTCAGACTGGTAATCACACAGTTTGGGTAATGATCTGGGTCTTTTGGAAGCATTTAATTGTACAATTATCTCTAATTAATTAATTAAATGAAAGAATATTCAGTCATGATGGCCGTAATTCCAATTACTGGGCTCTTCATACCACACTAATGATGATCTACAAACACCTGCAAAACATTACTGTCTTTTATAATATGAAAAATATACTTTAAAGGAACCTTTAACAAATGCATACAGACAAATTGTTACAGTAATGGTGAAAAGGTAAAGGGATATTACATCTGCGACTGAGAATGATGAATATTTCCAATGTGTGTTTTCTGATTTGTGAATTTTCCCTCTGAAATCACATATAACATTATCAAAACAGGCATCTCTTGATTCCAGAACAGCTTAAATGTCTCCTTACTTACAGCTCTCAATGTCACAGGAACGACACACAGCAGCACTGCACCATTTCCCATCATTCCATGTTCCTGGCAAGCCGACTGTAGCTGTATTGGGCTGGTGCCTCAGCAGGATCATCCATCACCAGACTGACACCAGGCATCCCACTGAACCCTGAAGAAACACAAATAAAATGCAGGTTTCACATCTGTTTTTTTTTTTTACAGCGTATTGTTAGTGTGTAAAACAACAATTCAGAATACATAACATTAATGTACATCTGGGTTAATTAAAGAATGTGATTTTTGCACGAAACCACTTTTGAAAAAGCAAGAATTGAAGAGTAACCTACATTTATGTTGTAATGACACATTTGCCACCTGTGCAACAATTCTCTGGTAAAAAAAAAAAATACCAGACAGCATCATTGAATCATGTCATGGAAAACATTTTAACATGTCCTATAGCAGAAAAAAAACACGGGTGAATATATTTGGTGAATATGCCTACTATTTTATCTATAAACAGTTCAGTTTTTCAATAAACTGGTTGCACAGCAGAGCTGTGCAAAACACAGGTGGACTGGATTTAATAACAGTAACGAAGGCTCACTTCCATTAAGTGTCACCATGTCAGCCATCATTAATACACCTGTATGTTTCCTGCTATGACATGTCAAAATTTAGGCCTATATCTCAGCATTTTGTTCATTTATGTGAAGAAAATTAAGTGAAATTGTTATTCTTAGACGTTTAGATCAAAATCTTTGAAGAAAACAGCCTCATCCTGCATCCATTATATTAAATTTACCAAAAATATCAGGAAAACAGGATATAATCTGCTTAAAATGCATTCAAATTGCTCATTTTACATTCACTTCATAAACATTTTAGTTTACTCAGTAATAGAAAAGGGAACCCGTGTTTTATACATTAAAATGAGTCCCAAACAAGGACTGTAAGAGCAGTATGAGGACATTTAACCCCTAAATATTATCATTAATCATTAATTACATTCATGATAACACATAAGAGGCACAAACTGGGGCTAAAGCCACAACATTATACACTACACAGTTTATATTAGTTACAAAATCTTTGACAATCACTCACTTACCTCGTCACAACAAAACTGGTTATAGAAGAGTCACAAACTATAAAAACTATCAATTAAAACATCCATGAGTGCAGACTGTTATGAATCACCTTTTATGTCTCCTATAGATGGCGGTAGAGCCAAACAACGTCTTAACCAACAGCCAACTATTTCCGATGTCAGAGGACACAAGCATGTCCGCCGCCCGATGTGGATAACATTTATGTCTCAATGTTAACTTCTTAACGCAGCTTTCAGACGCAAAAACGCCGCAATTCACCGTTTCACTCACCGACTAACAACCTGCACCTGCACCGACATGTTCCAGGTACTCGGCGGGAGGAGCGTCCAGGCTGCCCGGCTCCTCGCACCCAGGAGCGGCGTGCTCGTCGAGGCTGTCCGCGGAAGAAAGTCCCGCACCGACCCGGTGGCCAAGTCCAAAGTGGGGCGAATCAAAGTGCCTTCCTCGGTCGACCCGGTGGAGATGGTCGTCCTCAAGGAGAGATACTCGGAGTACCAGCTGTTAATGAGCGCGCTTCGGTACGTTCAATGATTAATCTGTTAATGCCTGAAATGTTAACAGGGGTCACCTGGTGTTGTGGTTAACTCTGTTTTCCTGCACAAAATATGTCCCTAAACGCAACATCCTTCATTACTGTGTTAAAGTTTCATATTTCATTTAAAGAAATTTGAGAATATTTAATCTAAATCCCATGATTTGAGTCACAACACATACACACATAAGTAAATATGGTTTAAATTAAAAACCTGATAATCTGCATATACATCTGAAACATACAGTCTGCTAAATAGAATAATAATCAACCTGGTTTCCATGAAATTGAACAGTTTGATATGCAAACTAGAGCAGAAATGAATCAATGAATCAATTTACTGAAAATTATTTACCATCTTAAGAAAAATATGTCAAGAATTCACTGTTTCTAGCTTATAAATATTGTGAATATTATGAATAATGTGACATTTTTCTTTCTTTTCTCCAAGATGGTAACCTGAATATCTTACAATTAATTTAAATGTTTAACTTGGTCTCTAGAAATGATGTGATGAGCATTTTTCATTAATTATTAGCTTCCTTTAGACCAAACGATTAGGAAATCATTTGAGAACATTATTGGCAAATTAATGTAAAATGTAAATAATTTAAATAATTGTTCGGTATTCTGTTCATTTTCATATCATTTCTTCATAAAAAATACAGCATGACTTACATTAACTACAACATGTAACTGCAGGTGTCCAATAATCATAAATGTTTCATAAGAACAAAAAATTATTGATATTTTCCTTAATGTAAACCTCAAATGTGTAAGTTTCATTCATCATGTTGATTTTTTATTTGCCTGAAGTTTAAACAGTTTTAAAGGTTTAAAGGTTCTTTCCTCTGTGTTTGTCAGTCTGGAGTTTAAGGAGGAAGTGCTTCAGAGGAAGTACGAAGAGGAGACGGGCTCCCTGGCGGAGGAGCGAGCGAGGCAGGAGGTGGAGGAGCATCGCGCCCTCATGGACTGGAACGACCGGGAGAACCTCCGCCTGCTCAAACTCAGGTAAGAAGACAACACGAAGGCCAAAAACCTCATCTAAAGATACTGATACTGGGTTTGTGTGTGGTTACAACAGCAACTTTATTCTCCTTTTTTGTATTTTACAGGATATTGAGGGTCCAGAAGGAAAAGGAGGAAGCTGAGCGCAAGCAGTTAGAAGCTGCCATCAAGCAGGAACAAGAACAGCAGGAATACATCAAAGAAAAAGAGAGAGAGATATTACAGTTGCAGGTAACATTGTCTCTATTTTCATTTCTAAAAAGCTACTTTTTAATGTTTATTCTGGAGTCTATGAAATCAAAGAATCCAGCAAACTTGTCTTCTTGGCTTTTTTTTAACTTTCTGACTTTCTGTCTCTTACAGGAGGAAGCAAAGAACTTCATCACCTTGGAGAACTTGGATCAGCGTATCGAAGAGGCTCTGGACAATCCAAAGAATTACAACTTCGCCCTTAACAAAGAAGGGAGAGTTGTTAAAAAGACGATACTGCAATGAAACGCCGCGACGACACCACTTCAGTTTGGAGTTTGTTTCAGACTCGCGACACCGAAAAACATTCAGTGTGAGAATGTAATCGCGCCTGTTGGGACTAAGAAATACCTGAGGGCGTTTTCATTAGCAGGTAGAAGTTTGAGCTTGAGGTCGGAATGAGACCACGTTTCCGTCTGTATCTGGACGTGTGATGGACAGTTTGAACCACGAGGCCACGCTGTCTTTTGTTTTTCATGTTTGTGCTTCATTTTCAGTCACATTTGATCTGTATCGTCAGCCCAACATGTTCTTTTACTCATTACTGTCTTCTCATGATGTGTAATGTATATAAAGTAAATTAATGTTTATCTGAGTTTCCACTGAAACTGTGAATCTTTTTTTTTTTTAACATTATAGGATGAAAATTAGGTCAAGAATTAGACTCTGTTTTCACAAGATACAAGTTATGTTTCAAACGCAAGGCTCTTCCTCAGGCTTCTGATACAGACATGCTATATGATGTGCAGATATTTCTAACTGAATTTGAGCTACTTGGAAACAGTCTAATAGTTTTAAGTTTGAAGTCAAATAGAAACTGGTGGATGAATTTTCAGGTCAAGATGACTCACTTATTGTACACTGTACATTCAAAAGATGTACCACAGTGGCAGCATCCAATATATGTTTTCAACAAATAGAAATGTGTCAAATTTACCTTCAAACTTCAGGTTCTTTCATAATAAAACCTGAGATTATTACCTGAGCAATGTGGGGAACTTCCTCCTGAACTTCAGGCAGCCTGAAAGCTTCTCATTCGCCACATGTCAACTGGTTTGTGGCAGTTTGTAGTTTATTTAACTGCAACTAAGCACAATAATAACTTGTTACTGTAAGGGCCTCATGGTGGGTCCTATCATCTAATCTCAAGGCCTTGTCTCTGTCAAACTCTTAATCAAATGACCCCTCATGGATTGATTTACATCAAATAAGTTTGGTTTCTGGAGCTGCAGGAAAAGTCTAATTAATCTCTCATTTGTAGTCTTCTGTGTGCTTGATTGATACTTTGAGACAATGAACAAAAACCCAAGGATTTGTGGGGTCAATGGGGCCACCTTATTGGTTTTATCCAACCACGGTCACTCTTTAACAGCCCCATCATTTGGTTTAGTGTATAATTAATATATAATCACATCCTTCAACGAGTGAAATGCTCTCATGCTCTCAGTATTTTTCACATCACAATCTTGTCCTCTGGTCCTGCACCTGAAGCTGCCGCCCTCTAGGAGGCGCCGTGTGCAGCTTTCCACATTGTTGTGTCAGGCCGGTATTAAGCTACTCATGTATGACAACGTGCTGCTGAACCAGTGTTAATCCTCGTCTGTCAGGCCGGGTGTGCAGGTTGATGGGATGATGATGATGATCAGAGGTGAAGACTTCAAGAGAAACTCAAGTAACCTGCAGCTTTAGTGTGAGGAAGGATGGAAAAACACACATTTAAAAGGCAACACTGTCTTTAAACTGATTTTGTGTAAAAAAAAAAACAACTTTTTTAAATGAATACATGGTTCCAAGTCAGTGGGGTTTAAGAACAGAGCAGTTTTTCTTCTTAAAATTACCTCAACAGTGGGAGAAAGTGTATAAAATGACCAGAAAATACTGAAAAACATGCAATGCATCTCAATAATCTCAATATTTCAGACCCTTCGTCTGTATTAATTGAGGGTGTGGAGTAAAGCTGACATGATGAATTGATCACTTCATTAGCTGATGGTTATTTGGATCATTTGTGAATCATTTAAACCATTTTTCAAGTAGAAATTACAAACAGCTTTTGCTTTTCTCTATTTTTTGCATTGTAAACTGGATATTTTGGGGGTTTTGAGTATTGGTGTTGGACAAAACAAAATATGTGAAGTCGTTACTGTGGGCTATTTTCTTAGATTTTGTAGAACAATTGATTAAACAACAAAATAAATGACAGATTAATCAGTTAGTTGGAAGGTAAACAGTAAAACAAATCTGATGAGTCATTTCCTGGAAGGTAATTAAAGGTTTGAATGTGTTTTAGTGGTTTTATTCTCAGCAACCATCACTATTGGGACTGGGCTGCATTCCCACTTTAGTGGTAAACATGATAAGATGGGACTTGTAATGCAGTGCACTCGGTTAATGTGATTGGTAACCGAGGTTAATGGGATTGTTCAACCACAGCAGCAAAGGCTGGGATTAGAAGAAGTAAATTGAGATGAACACTCAGATTAGGAGCACAAGACTGGAAGCTGTTCTCACAAGTCGGTATCAATCAGGAATCAGATCTTTAACTAATGGTAACGATTCTTTAATTTATCTTTGTCAAACTGGACTTAATTAATTAATTTATAGCCCTTTAGAGTCGATCTGTAAATCATTTTGTTTCTTAAATATGAGTTAAAATAATTCACCCCAACCTCAGTAGAAACCTCCGTTTACCTTTTATAGTTTGACCTCTTTTTACAGCTTTAAATATACCATATTTTCCAAATGGCTCATACATCACAATCCAAGTGTTTTGTTTCCAAACGACTGCGCTGTGAGTCTGTGAAGCAAATATAGGCTATAATAAAGGCCACATTGGACACGAATAGTGAACTGGTGACAGTTTTAGAAACAAGGACAAGGAAAAGAGATTGTTATCATGGTAGGAAAGCATAAAAAACATATCTCTAACCCTAAATTATGTACAAGTTTCAGACTTCCCTTTAATCTTTTTGTTTCCCTTTGAAGTACAAGATGATTTTAGGGGTTTCAAATAAAACACAGACAGAAAACAAGTTGCGGTCTGAATTAGTCGCAAGTGGTGGAAGTAGTGGTGGAGAACCACTGCCCTGAGAACTTCTACTCAAATAAGTCTCTTAGATACAACACAATTAATATTCCTCTCCTTTTTATTTGGTGCAACAGGAGTGATTACATCAGCATACATACAGCAATTCTTGAAGGTAATTGTAGTTTTTTTGTCTTTGCCCAATAACATCTATGTTCTGACTCTAAATGACTATTAATAATACATACAGACTAGAGCTAGCGTCAAACTGGTTGCGAAGCCCCTTCAAACTAACAATAACGATATTAAACAGGTGTTGTTCTTGAGCACCTTGATATTACGAATAAATACATTCACAAAGTATTGGAACTGTGGAGGCAGGCATGTTGAAGCAAAACCATTCCTCTGAACAAAGAGGGCAGAAAACTGATGTGAAAACCTTCTTTTCTCTTGAGCAACATGCTCAATTACATTTATCCTTCAAGATTACAATCCAATCCAGAGTGAATTATACACGTAATATTTCATGTTTTAATCTGAGGCACCTGCAGGTTTTTTTTAGAAAAGGGGACAGTCTATCTCTTCTGTCCATAATGCCCAGTATGAACGTTCACTCAGGACCAGTAAGACCTTCACAGAGCTGCATTTGCTCCTCTTCATGCCTCAGTTTTTAAGTTTCTAAATGTGTTATAGCTAATGCTAACACCTCAGGTAGTTCTGAACCAGCCTGCTCCAAGTAAAAAAAAAAACACCTCATTCATAACTCGGAATAAAAACATTCAATAGAAGGCTGTACATTAGTCATACGCAGACTGTACGACTGACTTTATAAAATCCTTTTTTTGTGATAAAAATATACCATTAGCTCACATTAGACTGAGAAAAGAAAATTAAAATAAAACATAAGCACTTGAATATTCAAGTATAATGACTCAGACATACAACACATTCACTAGAAGAAAATACTGTTGGTTTCTTCCATTATAATCTGAGATATGTGGGGGAAATCCATTGAAAACAAAGGGTTTGTTCCTCGCTTTTAGAGCCAGCGAGGTGTGTGTTTATTAATTCATCCCCCACTTTGGGTGTCATACTGTTGTTGAGATTACTGTTGATTAAGAAACCTGGTTATTGAGCTGTCCGGGGTACTTCTCAAACCTCCTCTCTGCCTCCTCACTGAATGCATCACCTGCAGGGAATAAACAACAATGAGTAAAACAGAAAAGTTTAAAAAGGAGCCAAATTTCTGAAACATCTGATAGATTTTAGTGTTTTGTGACTGCTGCTCACCAACGTGGCAGTTGTGGAGCCAGATTCGATGTCCGTCGTATTTGCAGTTGCATTTCATTGCGTTGTTGGTGAAGTCGCTCTCAGCCACTTCGTGATTTGGATTGATCACAATCTAAAGAGGTGACAAACGTTAATGAAACATTTCTATGATTTATAGTTCCTGGAGTATTTGGTTCTGTGGGGAGAGACTGAATATTGAACTGAATTTGGGAAAATGTTGAAGATATCCAAACATATCTTCGTCTATAAAGCAGACAGAGTGAGACAGACAGAAGGGAGGAATAACGAAAGAGAGACAGAGGAACTTTATAACTGCAGAAGGTAAAACATTAGCTGTTTACAATAGTTTGATTTGCAGCTGCAAATTCTGCAGTTAAATTGTATTTATGAGTCTATAAAGCTGCCTAACTTCATCAAAGTTGTTGGAATGTTTCAGTCTTTTAGCACTATTTTATTATATGTAATGGATTTGGTGATGAGTTTTTGGTTAATATTAATATATATATATGTAGTTTAATATTTTTTTGAGCACTAAGAACTATTTGGGCCATATTTGCAAAGTGCTGTACAAATGGGAGTCACAAATGTTCACCTGCAAAATGTAGTTTCCAGGTTTGACGTCTGTGATGTCGATCCACTGGCAGTCGATGTCGTGGCGGTACAAATCCCAGCAGCCCACGGTGACGCCCTGATCGCCAAAGTTGGCGCACTCGTATCGCTTAGAAACACCTGGGTGGAAAAAAGATTCACTGACATTCAGCGGTGGAACATAACGTAACATTTTTCATGACACTTTGCTGCTTCTACTCCACTACACAGAGGGAAATATCTGCATATATATTTGCTACTTTTTCCTTGTAATTATTATATACATATTATAAAAATTTTATATTATACAGTGTGGTATTAGTTCTTGGACTTAGGTAAAGGATCCAAATGCCTCCTGATTAAGATCCATTAGTGAATCCATAAAAACTCAATAAAAGAATATTTACAGATGAAGTAACCTTTAGAAAATGAGTCTTTAAAACTGGCATTTTAAACTTTTTATGTGAAGTCCCTTTTGATTCAATGATATTTAATTAGACAAATCCTTTTCTAACAGTGAATTTTGATCTACTAAGAGATCTATGTCACTGTTATCACTTGTATTAGGTAGGTGTGACAGCTCTGATAGTGCCCTGAAGTGGGATATACTCCGTTCACCCAACCTTTCTATCTTGTTGTTTGAATTCGAAGCATCAAACTCACCCTCTTGACAATCTGTGTCCTCCAGACAGAAACTTGCTTTGTGTCCCTCTGCCACTTTGCTACCGTTAGCGTTCAGCAGATCATAGTGGGTAAAAATGTCCATGCTGTGGTAGTGACTGTATAATACAGAGAACATGTTGTTGTTAATGACACCATTCAAAAAAGTGACATACTTAACGCTTAAGAGACTTAAAGGGCCTATGAAATGGAGGTGAAACTCTGATTTCCTTCAACTGACAGACAGTTCTTCTGGATGAAACAGGATGTTGGTAATGACTTGATTTTTCCTGAAATAGATGATGATATTTTTTAGAATCTAAAATGTTTTGTTTGCCAAAGAGGACGAGATGTTGTGAAAATAAGACGACTTTACAGGAAGAAATAAAGCTTTGATTCTGTTATAAAATCAGAGATAACGTTCTGTATATGTGGCAAACATTGACAGAAAGTGGAACGATACACAAGGTACTATAGTCCTATAATACTGTAAAACGTACTGAATGAAGGTTTTAATGTATATAATGAAGCATATTGGAATAAAAACTGAGGCAACATTTCTATTTCTAATTTAATTTCATGCCAGAAAAGCTGTGAAACAGAATTCCTCCCCCACTTTTATCTCTCTATGTTGCCCGAGAGGCTGCAGAATAATGACGGAGGAGGACACACTTCGGCTCTCTTCCTCCCACTCATCTTTCTGAGTTGTGTTTTATCAGCTGACTCAGGGGGAAGAAACTCAAGCGTTGGAGGAGTTTTGGGTTTATGTCTACCTTATAAAATAAATTCACAGACAATATAAACATATATGCACTTACTGTTATTTATCTCCAGCATTCATTTTGTATTTTTATCTGTATCTATGTTTTCTGCTGCAATGACTCAATCTAACTTATTCTTGAACTCAATTTTCTGTATAATATAGGAACACATAAATAATGATGGTGACTTGCTTGTAGTCCAGAACAGGGATTTCCTTTATCTCAACTCAGAGCCAATCAGATTAGATGAATGCATCATTAAAACTCTGGAATGAACTTCATATAAACAGAGCTGTCAATGGAGACAACATTACCCATGGCAGGCGTGCCAGACCCACGAGTGCCGTCCAGCCTTCGGCTTAAAGTCAGCCCGACCGATGTTGTGGATCTGGGAGGAGAAGCGGAGCAGGCGTCGGTGTCCGTAGGGCCAGTTGGCCTTGGCTGCAGATTTTGAGAGGCAGTCCTCCTCTGCAGCGCAGTAGAGCATGTGCAGAGGGCGATCCTCGATGTAAACTGTCTGCTGGACCAGTGAGGCGTTCAGGATGAGATCAGAGGCCGCTGGGAATATGGGATAGTAGCACGATTAGGCTTGAGTTTAGGCTCATACAGTACAGGATATCACAAAACTGCAAACATTCTGATCATACTGGACAGTAAAATGAGTGCCACATCAAATATTAATGGACTGTAACCAGCTGGATTTACAAGTTGCACAGGGGACAAAGTGATGCACACAGCTGGGACATGCTTGTTGCTCATTTTCCAACACCACTTACAGACAGCTGACTTCAATAACTTCATGAGACACAACAACAAGCATGTCTCAGCTGCGTGCATCAGTTTTTAGTGTCCCCCTGGAAACAGTTTCTGTTGTCGTCTGTATTTGGTTGCTTGATTTACTTGTGTTTTGTATTTTTTTTTGTGTCTTAAGCTGCAGTGTGTTGAGCTCTCAGGGCCTCCGTACTTCATCACATTAAATCGTACTGAGCTTTACAGACCCACATCAGTCACAGCTTATGACCAGAAACCACAAAAAAACATCAGACAAAAATAGCAGAACGCTCAAGATAGAGTTCCCCTCTCTGAAACAGAAAGTTGTAACACAGACTACAGTCAGTCATGAATTCCCTTATAAATACATGTTGGCTCTTGTGTGTTTTTTTGTTCTCTTTTGTGATTCTATGTTTTATTTAGCCTCTTGGCGTTTCAACAAATCAACTAAATATGTCTCTGAAAATTGTCAGTAAACAGAGCAGTTAGTCTAAACACTTCCATTTGTTTCTGCTGCTGTCACTCACTGTCAGAACAGATGACTCCAGCTGCAAACTTTGCTGCAGACTTCTGGCAGCTGACAGTTTTGTGATGCTGGCACTGACTCAGAGACATCTCGTTCCCGGTGCACTTTACGCCGCTCATTATCATCTCGGTCACATTGCTGCTGTCCCAGTACCATGTTTCCTTAGATTCGGGGGTTCAGACAACAGAAAAAAAGACGCGTGCAAACAAAAAAGAAACACAGTGCATCGATCAGGAATCAAAAAACATTCACAGAGTTCAGTCTGATGTTGCTGCTGTGAAAAACAGATGTTCATGACTCATTTCTGGCTGCTCACTGAGGACAGAGTGTAATGCTGAGTTTATGATCACTGGAGGACAATGACTTTCTGCAGATACTGAGTGATTTAATAATCGTATTGCTTACTGGAAGTGTTTCTCATTCCCACACCACTATAAATTTAATTAGAGAACGCTTATGAACATTCCAGTTCACTATATTTAAGTATTTTGTATCATGTTGCCCTGGTATGCAGCTTACAATAGCATTTGTTTTTTACTTTTAAAGATAGCTGAATATCTAAAAACTACAGTTTAAAAGCCCTTTAAAGGAAAATGAATTCTGATGAATTCTACGTGTAATATTGTCATGAAGAATAGTAATTTTGTATGTTTTGGTGTGCCCACTTTCCCTCAGCCTACATACATATTTACTTCCCTCAATGATTTACTACATTTGCAAGAAGCCACATAATAAGTCTTGCTTTGTAACTGTGGTATACTTTATTCTGTGGGTGTAGAAACTGGTTTCTTTGCCCCTTTAATGGATTTCTGACTCCAAAACTTGACATTTATTGCTGCATGTTTAAAGAAAGACTCCCTAATTTTGTTGTACTGCACATCAGTACATCCAAATCCTCTAATTTCCTCCCACTTCACTGGATTTAAATGCAACACAGTTAACACAGCAGACTTTCATAGCTTGAACAATGAGCTGGGATTAAAATTTGGGATGTGGAGTCACTATTGGGTGCTATACCGAAAACAGGAATCTAACTCTTTTATAATTTTTTGTCTAAAAAGAACCATAATCACAATTTGAATTAAATTCTTTGTCATATTTTCCCCAAAAATTTTTTTAACCTTTAAATGTCATTTAAAAATGTATGTTGATTTATTTTGAAGTGTTAATTTCATACAATCACTGTGATATGTATGGAGCTCTTTAAGTCTCTCTAAATGAAATTCATTGGTTCATATTTATTTCAAGTACATTTCTTTTAATTCTAGTCTATAGCCATATTCCTTAATATATTACATACTGTATAGAGACTCTGATAAGCTTTACCTCTTTGTTCACTCAGTTTTATTCAAGACTCTTTGACTTGAATAATTTACCGTCACACACTGAAACCTAGAACATAACAACATAACACAACTAAGCCTTATTTCCTAATTAAAATCAAGATGCTCCTGCTTCTTATTATTTAGAGTCATGACAATAATTCTAAAACAATACATTTATTCAGTATCTCTCTTTATTTAAATCTTTGCTCCTACTTACATTGATGGCATGCATGGAGTATCCGAGCCCTAGCTGCCTGCAAACCACCATGGCTTCCTTTGTGGTCCAGCCAGTGCTGCACACTGTGCCCCACTTGGAGCCAACCTGAACCTCCACCCGGCCCTCATAATTGCTCCGGCCGCCCACTATCCGGATCTGCAGAAATGTCCTGCTGGGAGTCAGTAAAAGGACACACTTCCTGTCCTGTCTCTGAGCTGTCTGAACTGAAACTAACGTTACTCCTATACAGTCCTCCGAGTAGAGAGTGTGTCGTTGAAGCAGCAGTTTGGTTAGACTTTTTCTGGAAAATGTCAACGTGGTTTCCAGATGAGGTCACCACTTGGCTTTAGTGGTGAGTGGCTTTTGAGTTTGATTAGAAACTTCATGTGAGTCTGTCTAGGTCTGCCCACACAGAAGAGACCCAAGCAGTACTGTGTTCTTCCATGAATGGAAAGAAACATCTACTCCATATGGAACTTATAATGTACTGTCAGACATTAATACGTGCATTCAAGTATATTCCAAAAATATATACATCAGGATTTAGCAAGATAGTTATCTTTAGGAATATATTTGAATGTGTTATCAGTTCTAATAACCAGTATTAGTATGCTGCACATATCTGAACATATATGCATAGAATTAACTGTATTTACTGTAATTTATCAG